AAATAAAATAGAATGAGAAGTGAGATTTATCACCATCTATTGGAGGCAAAGATTTCTATCTCTAAAATTAATCGGAAGATGGCACTGATTCTTAATATTCTTCTTTATCCTGTTAGAGATCCTTTTTTATCTTTTGAAGAAATGTTTTTATCACTCGAGAGATGGCACTACACGCGAATTGAATTTGTATAAATATTACATATGAGTACCATGTGAAAATTCGTATAAAATTCAGTTGCACTATATTTTTATACGAAATTGTATTTATACAAAAATTTAATCTGCTATTATTATGCTGTTATTATTATTATAATATATATTAATATATTATAATATATATGTTTACGTATATGTATATGTATATCATATTCTATTTATACATACACATTTACATCTGAAGTGAAATATATATATTTTTGATATTTATATTATACATATATCTAAAGTATTTAATTTTTCTTATATTATGCATTATAGAAAAAATACTATAAATAACTTATATTTATGTTATATTTGAATCTACTATTTTAGTATTGTTCTCTAAAGTATTATGTTTAGAATTGATAAATACATTTTAGAATGATATTAAATTTATTTTAAGAAATTAAATGAATTTGTATGGCTTGATATTTTCGTAAATGATACTATTTTTTTATATTTTTTTCTTGATTCATTACATAAGTTTAATTAAAATCAACATATTCACAATCATTCACAATTCTGTCACAAATTCGTAAAGAAATATTATAAAAATATTATATGTTATAAATAAAATTATGAATTTTCATAATTTTAACTTTTATAATGATATATTTTAATGATATAAATATCGTATTACATATTATATATAACTATATATTATAAAAATTATATTTAAATGCATTGTGATTTCTTTTTGATGAGATTATTCCAGACATTTGTAGAATCAGACATGTGTTTCGCCGCGATGCGTATACGCATGTGCAAGCATTTCTATAGTTGTGTTCGCTGTTTAAAGGTTGTGAGAATATAGTTAAGTAAAGTAGCGAATGAATGTTGTTGTTCCGCAATGCAGTTGATCTTGTGATTTGCGTATGCTTGCGATTTTTATAACGTTTGCACGCATTCACGAAACAAATCACGCGGACTATTAATTAAAAAACTATTGGTTGATGTTAATCTTACACATAATTGTTTGATCTATTGTGGTCTGCGTGAGAGAAAAACAAACAATTCTCCACGATCTTTCTCGAACAATGCATCGCATATTATAGAACGAGTGTCACAGATAAATATATTATTACTCGATCTAATATTTGAGACTTTTTTTGTTCGGTTTAGCGAGCATTTGCATATCGTTATACTCTACATTCTTTATTGAACTACTATAAGTAGGTAATAGAGGTTAGCGTCTTGCAAATAGTTCAAGGATTCGTATCGTGCGACGAAGTGTCTTGAAATATATTTGTTATACATTTTTTTTCCAAGATTTGTGCCAAAATCGTATGTTACACAACACAAATATTTTTGTGAAATTCTTCAAAGACATTACTTATCACATCGCACATTTGAAGATTCAAGTATTTTTTCAAGTTCTTGGTGATTCCAAATGACAGTAGGCAATTTATTATTTACAAGTTTTATATATTGATTTAAAAAAGTTACAATAAGATATTTTATTAAAATATATTATTTGTATTTGTGATTTTATAAAAATTTTATCAATATGATTACATAAAAAAATACTTTAAACAATTATCAGTTACAAATATTTTTATTTTTATAAAAAATACAATCAAATATTCAAAGAATTTTTATATTATAATTTTTTAAAAACAAATTGTTATATTTGAAATTATTTGTCGATCTTTACTATAAAACATGGCAGCACTATCTACGCAGTATCAAATCTATTCTCCTACTCCGGTTCAGAATGCAATGGGAGGAGCGAATCTTCATACCCCTCCATCCATATTTCAACATATGATGGGTCAACAAAGTGCTTCACAACAACCAGGAACATGGATGCAAATGCCACAAGTACCTCCAATGTCAATACCATGGAGTGTGCCATCTCTCCAACAACCAGAATTAGTAAGATTTACTGGTGGACCAAGTTTAGAACCAATTCCTCATCAAAAGAGAAAACTTGAAACTTGTGATCTGTTAGATATGTAAGCAAATAATAAATAATAATATATAATAGAAAAAAATTTTTATTTTATTAATATAATATTTAATAAATATGGAATATTATAGGAGGCAAACAAAACAGTTTATAACAGAAGAAAAAATGGCTGCACATTTTAAAGATTTGCATATTAGTTCCAATTATCAACAACATTCGCCTGTACCATCAACTTCAACAGCTGATACACAACCAATTCCTTCTAGAGAATTGAATATGGAATTAGAAATAGATGCAGCTAATACAGATCAATTAAAATCTGGACCTAGATTGATTCTTTCAGAAGAATTGAAAAGACTCAAAAAAGAACCTATTTTGCCAAATTCCTTATTGTCCAAATTGTAAGTGTAAATATATTAAAGAATAATATATATATATATATATATATATATATATATATATATAT